CCCGACATGGCGGCGGCAGCATCAATACTACAGCGAGAATCAAAGTTACGCCTTCTTTCTTTGCGTAAACATTTGGGTGGTGTTATGCAAATCTTCCCACATCGTGATGTAGACATGTGGGGGCATGTTTAAACGAGGCGTTTTAAGAGGGCGTGGATGAGTCTTAACTTTTATAAAGTGTCAACTATTTTGTTTCTCATCTGTTCTTGAATTTCTTTAGATGTGTTGCTGTTGCATGATGTGTTGCTCTTTAAGCATGCTTCACTTTGTCAGACAGCTTCTATTTAAGTGATTTCTTGATTCAACAGGTCAGGCAGTAATCAGGCCTGGGTGTGGCTAGTAAAATTTAACTCAGCTTTCTAAAATAATGTGGTTAATCACAGTTCTTTCATGATTTAAGAGGAGGGGCAATTAATTTTTCACGTAGGGCCAGGTAGGTTTGGACAGCTTTTTTCCCTTAATAAATGAACTTATCATTTAAAAAATGCATTTTGTATTTACTTGCATTATCTTTGCTTAATATTAAAATTGGTTTGATGATCTGAATCTTTTAAGTGTGACAAATATGCAAAAAATAAAAAAAAACAGGAAGGGGGCAAAAACATTTTCACGGCACTGTATCTCTTTGGGTTTGAGACTTTAGTCTTTGCAACTTTAGGGATCTTATCTATTCACGAACAGCTTGTAACACTCCAAAGAGAAAGGAAAACTTGAAATCGCATCATATGACCCCTTTAAAGCATATTATGTATATGGGAAAGGTCAGGATTTAGCAAAGATTTTAACCTATGTGCTCAGAGTATTTCATGTTTCTCTGTTCAAATGTCTATGTCCCTTTTATCATTATCTTCACCTTACATCGACATCCACTGATTCATCTTTGTCATAGATTTTACACTTATAATCAATCCCATCATCCCTTTCATCTGCTGGAGAGCAATTTTCTGCTAATTCCTCTTCATAATTCAGAGATGTCTCCATGACCCATTCATCACAGACCTCATCCTTACAATAATTTCCTAAGCAGTTTAATTGTAGCAGTTCACCGTTTCCTATGGATAATATCTCCATTTCGTATACTTTATTAGTACTGTTCTCCACAGTAGCTTTGACTATGTCTAGGTCATCAGATGGAAAGCAAACTATCACACTTTGTTTGAAAATAAAAACACCAAAGTTTTCTAAATGTCCAAATAGCTGTAAGGCGTAGCTTTTCAGAGCCAATGTAATGAGTCCTGGAGTCAAAGGGCAGCCCTGATGCAGCACTTTGTATTTCTCAACTGAAAAATCTTTTTGCATCACTGAGGTTTTCTATAATGAGAAGATCCTGGATCAGAGTCAGGTTTGAACGTTTTTGCTGTTCCAGCTCATCCTTAATATGACTTAAACTTATTAAAGTGTAATGTGTTTTGGGAGTGATCATGACAGTAGCAGAATCTTTTGTTATTCACCCCTTTGGAAGAGTCTCCATGACGTCTTCTAGATTTCTTGCCAGAATAGTTGCCATGATGAGTTAGTCAACGTTAAAGGAGTGTTGACTATCGTCATGTGGACTGTTCAGAGATTAATTAAAATATCTCTCAGAGCAGTTAAATGCACCTCTGTGGATTCTGTCATAGAGCATGTTTATGTATGGAATTATAACCTGAATGTTGTCTTTATAGAAGGAAACTGGGATGCCGTCTGGTCTCGGTGTGTCTGACACCTGAAGAGAATTTACAGCTGACACAATGTCAACCTCACTGACTGCATGTGAGCTTTCTTCATCCAATAATGAACCTACCATTTGTCAATAAAACACATCATATAACAGGCAGGTACAACTACAGTCATAATTTATTTTTTAAAAATTAATTAATATTCCAAGTCAAGGCAAAACAATTGATTTGTGAGAGGAATAGACATGATCACTGTCTCCACCCGCCATAAAGCTCAGATCCTGTGTGCACTCTGTGCGCAAATTCAAAAATTGCCGCCAGAAGAAGCCTTACGTCAGCCTTGGTAGTGAAATGCCATTGGCTCTTGTGTGTTTCATGACCAATTGCATCAAGCTAAAGTACGGGAGTATCATTTTGAATGAGATGTGAGTACATTAATGGAGCGGGATCATTTTCAGTGATTAAAACCTAATGTTTTACTCTCTTCTTCACATAAAGATATCATATGGCTTCAGAAGTCTTGGAATGCAACATGACTTGTTTGCAATGCTTTTATACTGCTGTTTTATGGTCAGTTTTTGCAATAAATACCTGTGACTGTACTTTTATGTGCCTGTTACGTGTTTTATTGTTCAGAAGTGGGTAGGTTTAGGGTAAAGTTGGGATTAGGTGCTCCAATTAAAGTATAAATTTATATATAATTTCTATTTTTTAACAAATTCATGCAAATCATAAAGTTAGGGATGTTTGTTTTGCTTATTTTGCTGAAAAACAACTGACGCTCATTAACCGTTAACAAAATTATAATGTTAAATTAGATTTAAACTAAATTATAATGGATAAGAGTGTGTGACCCATTAAAAATATCTATTTTTTTTCTTCGGGGGTTTAGTGCATGTGCAAATAACAGCACAAACAACAGAACATGAGGATTCACACGTCGTCACATCACGCACCTGCAGTGCTGTGATGAAAGGAAAACAGAATAAAATGCCATATATAAAAGGAATAAAAAATATGTTTTAGGCTACATAATAATTAACACATTAACAAAACCAGTGCAGTTTGCTCTACACCACAGCGCGCACTGTACACGGACCCTCACGTACAAGTAAAAACCGAAGTATAATCCACAAAAATTAAAGCAGATTGCAACCTGAATTAGAGAGTTCCTGGAGCGTCATAAATTCTATTACTTTTGTAAGGCGTATTTGGAGTTTCTGCGCTAGGGTGCCCTCCAGCTGCAAGTATAATGATACATAAATTACATGTGTTTATAGCGCTACTGCTCACGCCACCTTATTTTGGGTAAAAATAGTTAAAGTACGATTTTTAAGTAAACATATGATACTCCATGTTGTTCTCCAGTATATAGGAGTTTTATTTTTTTTCCATGCTTAAGTGACATCGTTGCCAGCTGACTTACGTCACTTAAGAATTTCTACTGACGGTGCAATGTAACCAAGAAAATGGTCCTTGGGAAACATTTAGTTCCCCCAAAAGGCATTCCTAAAACTAAATTTGTTCCCAGTTCCTGTGGTGTGAACACACCAAAGAGCAGGATGGCATCCCACTTGTTGAAAAAAATGACAAAAAGCATCCATGCCCTTTTAGATTATTGCTGTTGATTTATTATGTAAAACTTATTATGCAAGTGAATATTAAAATTCTCTACATATAATAATTTAAAAACTAAATAACAGTGATTGGTCAAACTCAATATTGTAATTAGCTGCTTACAAGCTCAATCAAGTTTTCATAATTTTTCACGCAAAATGGTTCAAGCGCAACTTTGTACGTGTTCAGAGTCCAAAAGCATTCACTACATGATGAAGCCTGCATTGCAGTTAGAATGTCCCTATAATTCAAGCTATGAAAGAAAAAACATTCCTCTTATGACTTATTTTATTATATTTTTTATATTTCAATCATGACAACTTGCGGAAGATTTTAGCATGGTGATGGATATGACAATGTTAATGTATTTGGTCTTGGCGGAATAAATCTGCTACGCTGCTGCTGAATTGCTGCTGCTGTTGGTTATTGCTGTAGTTGTAGATTATTGCTGCTGCTGCAAGCAAGTACAGGAACTTGCTACTGCCAATGCATATGGTGATACGGTGCCGTGAGTATTTAAGACATGCTGCTGCTGCACAAATAGCATATAAAATAACCCGTAGCAGATCTGTACAGGTGGAGCTGGGGAAGGTGGAGTGTTTCAGAGAAACTTTGAAAGCACGCTGCAGGAATCTCAAGTGAATGCTAGCCAGCCATATAAATGCAAGGCAGTAAGCTCATTGGCTGCATATGCAGCATGAACCAATCATCTTGTGCCAAGTCGTTTAACTCTGATATCATCAGTTACGTTAACAATCTAGAGTTTCATGACTGAACTATATATTTATATAAATTAAAGAATTAAAATCACATTAAAGAAACACACACATTAAATAAAGAAAATGCTTGCAGACCTCCTAAGTTACCGAGTGATTACTTACTGTAGTAGTGGCAGATTAAAGGTAGACAGATTCGGATTTTACTTGCCTCCTGTCAGCGGCGACTTTGTACTTGAGTCAGATGATTTATGATTACCTTTCTTTTAGTGCTTCACTGTAAATTAACCCTGTAATGCAATTTTACTGTGGGGGTCCGAGTCAATATGCTGTTCAGGGAGCCCATAAACCATAGCTGCACACCTGCTCTTTGCTTCAACATATTTTCATTATCAAACATAATTCTTTTAGCTTACATTTATTTATTTATTTATTTATTTATTTTATTACGGACACACCATAGTTAACACAACCTTAAAAAAATTTAAAATGACATTAACTAACAGTTTGGTTTTCAAACTTTTTTTTTTTTTTTTACTTTATACTGCACTAAATTATTATTGTTATCTCTTTAATCATCCTGGGCTGCGTTTCTCGATAACGATTGATCTTAGAGCTTAAGAGCGTTTTCTACGAGTCATTTTACGATCGTTCGTTATTGTTTCACGTGCATAAAGTTAAAGGTGTAATCTGCCGATTGTCCTGCAGGTGACCGCATAAATCTTTCTTCTTACGATGCACTTAGGGCTTTACGATTACTCAGAGCACTCGTAGATCTACGATGATTTTCAAGTGCTACTTGTCGCTATCCGTTTGTCAAGTGCTGAAATGCCACCTTATAGAATGGCTAGTAATTGTAGTACACGCGCGTTTATTGAAATGTTAACCTAATCTACGTTCCAGAGAACTCGGATATAATACCTATTATTATATTATGTTATATTATATTATATTATATTTATACGTATAATATTATACTTTACATAGCCCGTTTTTACGAACTTCTTAGGCTTACGAAGCTTTTGGGAAACGCAGCCCTGACCTTTAGACCACCAAAAGAATAGCTACAGATTTCAAGAAAAAAGGAAAGAGAAAAGCACATTAAGTGAAGCAAAGGGACACTTTGTTCTTTGTCTGTAGGCAAAATTTGCTCTTTAAAGGTGAAGGTAAATCATTCAGGGCTGCGTTTCTCGATAACGATCGATCTTAGAGCTTAAGAGCGTTTTCTACGAGTCATTTTACGATCGTTCGTTATTGTTTCACGTGCGCTTCCCAAAAATGCACTTTACGATGCACTTAGGGCTTTACGATTACTCAGAGCACTCGTAGATCTACGATGATTTTCAAGTGCTACTTGAGTTACGATGCTTTTGGGAAACAGACCGTAATATTAAGATCAGTCGTACTATCGTTTTTACGAACTTCTTAGGCTTACGAAGCTTTTGGGAAACGCAGCCCTGACCTTTAGACCACCAAAAGAATAGCTACAGATTTCAAGAAAAAAGGAAAGAGAAAAGCACATTAAGTGAAGCAAAGGGACACTTTGTTCTTTGTCTGTAGGCAAAATTTGCTCTTTAAAGGTGAAGGTAAATCATTCAGGGCTGCGTTTCTCGATAACGATCGATCTTAGAGCTTAAGAGCGTTTTCTACGAGTCATTTTACGATCGTTCGTTATTGTTTCACGTGCGCTTCCCAAAAATGCACTTAACGCAATCGCACGTAGCCGTGCTTTAAGTGCTACTTAAGTTACGATGCTTTTGGGAAACAGACCGTAATGTACGATCGTTTTTACGAACTTCTTAGGCTTACGAAGCTTTTGGGAAACGCAGCCCATGTCTGTAAGGTAAATGAGCATATATTGAGATGAAACGGCCGTTTGTTTTTTTTCTATGTGCATCTCCAAGTTTTCTTTTTATTTCTGTGTAGAAAAGACACAGAAAGGAACGGTTCACCAAAAATTTTGCTGAAAATGTACTCACCGTCAGACCATCCAAGATACAGAAATGTAAGCATCAGCAAAGGTTCTACCAGGAAGACTAATGTCAAGTCATGCATAACTATTAGCTCTGGCCAATCACAGCTTGACACTTGGAGTACATAAGTACTGACTTTTCTCTTTTACGATTGTAGTTTATGACGATGATGTTCCACTCCATCCTCCCCACCACCACCAGTATATAAACTGAGAATTCCATGGACCAGAATACACAATTACATATAAGCTTACCCTATCCTTCGTCTGTGTATGTGTGTCTCAAGAATCTCAGGTGTCAGTTGTATCTTAAGACTGCAATCTAAAGTGCTGTTTTCCTTTTCATGCTGCTTCGTTTTGTTCACACCGGATGTGGTACATATCTCAGCTTACAGGATGTGTGTGGGCGTGTGTGCAAAGTGTAACTACATATAATGCTTGTCATAAAACAGAAATAATCGTAATTTGCGCTGCAAAAAAAATTTGACTGTTTTTAATATATTATATCAGTATAGTATTATACTATATATATGTGGGTGTTATTTGGAGTAACCATTTTTGTCTTTAGGAAATATGACATGCCTGAAAATTAACAGAAAAAAAAAAACATATTACACTTTTCCCTATAAATTTCTATAAATATCATTTCATCAGCATAGAAAATACAAATATCATGTTTATATATCTAACCTTATAAAAACTGCATCACATCTTCACACTAAAGCTATTTAAAGCTTGTGGAGCTCTTTACTAAAATGTTATTTTAATATAATATATTAAAATTATATCTTTACTCTAGTTAATAATGTTAAATATATTATAATATAATTGTGCTATTCATCTAGTGAAAATACAATTAGAGCAGTGGTCTCAAACTCAATTCCTGGAGGGCCAGCTGGAGCTCCAACTCACACCTGCTTGGAAGTTTCTAGTGGTCCTGAAGACCTTGATTAGCTGGATCAGTTGTGTTTGATTAGGGTTGGAGCAAAACTGTGCAGAGCTGTGGCCCTCCAGGAATTGAGTTTGAGAACACTGAATTAAAGATATCAAAAATCTGCAATTTTAAGAATTTGATTTCTTTGAGTGATGTATTGATAATAATTATTCACATTTTTTACTAGCAAAAATTCAATTCCTGTTAGGTAAGCTCAGTCACTACAAACTTACTGTTGTGGTCACACAAACAAATAGGCTACATTTTTACAATTACACTTTTACAATTCTGTTTGGTGCCACTGGAGGGACAGTAATTATATACAGTTTCTCAAAAAAAGTGCATGCATCTCCACATTCTCATTTGTTTAAGAAGTGATTTGAGATGAATGTTGTTTTTTAATTGTTATTTTGTTTTACCCTACCCTGTTCAGATCAGGATAAAGTGGCATGATAAAATTTCTTCTAAATACAGGACACGGCTGTTTTTTTAAGCATTTGTACGGAGCCCCGCACATGACATGCAAGAAAAAATAAATAAATCGTGCACACGATTACTATGTTCCCTCGATTAGCTAATTAGTTCCCTATACATATTTATATATTTTGCTATTGCATTGTGGAGTGACACTTTCATAAACTTTTCAATACCCCTCTGATTATATAATGGTAAATATTACAAAATCATAGCACAACAACAGTGATCAGCAATAATGATAAGCCTAATACTCACAATAAAAAACATGACATGCAAGAAAAAATAAATAAATCGTGCACACGATTACTATGTTCCCTCGATTAGCTAATTAGTTCCCTCGATTTGCTAAATCGATCGCACAATTTACTGATTTGTTCTCTCGATTTATAAATCGTGTGCACGATTTAGCAAATCGAGGGAACGAAATAGTAAATCGTGCGCACGATGCCATGTACGGGGCTCTGTACATTTGGAACATGTGTTAAGATATTGTGAATCCTTCTGTCACAAATCTGGCCCTGTTTCCTCCCGCTCACCACCAGAGGGCTCCCTCACCGGAGTTTTGACTATGTGTTCACGGACTCCTGGGGCATGTTCAAGCTCAAACCGGTGTGCACTGTTTTGCTACGGACAGTTTCCACAAATCCCTTCATTTGATTGGGATGTTCTCTTTTATTCTGGAGGGCAAGGGCAATGACTGTACCATTGAGCGTATTTTGCTGTATTAAAAACGTATTTATACCGATTTCGTCAGGCTACGCAAATTCTTCAAAAAGAACACAAAGAATGGCCTTCTCAGCTGCCATAGTTGCAACTCTTGTGTCATCAGAACAGGGTGTTCAACGCACCACTGTTTCCGTTTAAAAAACGTTTTGCACCGTTTTTGTCGGGGCTGAACGCAGCCCTGGTATTGACTACCCTCACACCTGATCCCTATTCCCTGGACTATTTAAACAGCTCACTTCCTTCCCTTTTGTCTGAAGTCTTGTTTTCTCCTGGCTGACAATTTTGAGTGTTACTCTGTGTCTAAGAGAATTGCCCTGCTTGTGTACAACCCTGGATTTTTTTATCCTGGTATGAATCTCTGAGGCCTGTGTGAAAGCATATTGCTGATTATTGCCATATAATTCACTTAAGTTAGGTCTAATGGTGTTTGTGGTCACAGTTTCATTCGCTGATCCTTTTGAATAGGGAGACATCTAAAATGTGCAGTGTTGGGGGTTCTCCAGAACCAGGATTGGGAACCACTGTGTAACGACTTTCTACTTCGAGGACCTTGATAGAAATGTAGTGGAGTGAAAAGTACAATATTTGTCTTTCAAATGTAGTAAAGTTAAAGTAATAAGTTCCCAGAAAAAAATTATACTCAAAAAGTGTACTTAAGTACAATACTCAAGTAAATGTACTTAGTTACTGTCCGCCTCTGGCCATCAGGGTGGTTCTTCTGGTTTGTGAAAGTGAGCATTCCACTGATCTCTTTAGCTCAGATTCAAGGCTCTTGCATATATGCTCCTTTAGAAGGAAACAACAGAAAATAGTCAAGGTATATAGAAAAAGAAGACAACTTTGTGTTGTTTGTAAGTATTAATGTAAGCAAATATGTTTAAACAATATTGAGAATTTGTGAAATCGAAATACCTTTAAATCCTTGAACTGATTCAGAACTTCCATTTTTGCATCTCTGTACATGTTGCATTTTAAAAGTTCAATTGTTCCGTTATTTTTTTCTCCCTCTTCTCCATGGCTTTATCTCCTTTCAACTTTGCAGCTTCTGTATTAGGTAACATTTAATATTCATTCAAATTCTTTAGGCAATACAAAGAATGTCTCTGAGATCATTTTTTTTTTAATTATATAACAAAAAAAGTGTAAGGACTGGTCTCTTCTGTGTTCTTACAACTAACAGATGTGCCATGGGGTTTACGTTCCAGCAGTCATTTGATTCTGAATTGCTGTTTGGATTGATGAGTAGAGTTTCTTCTTTCTATCAACAACTTCTCTTTTGAGCAATGCCTTCATTTTGGTTTCCTTATCAGGAGATAAAGCAGATAATTATTAATGACCTGTTACCCAATTGCATTTCACTCTTTTAAAGGACAGTATTTGAGGAAAAAAGCATTTCTGCTTGAGAAGGCCTTTGCATTTTAACATTTGAGACTTGACAATGTGTTATTTTTTGAGACAATGAAATAGATTTGTTTTAAAGACACTTTGTTGCTTGCACTCAAGTAATCATTCATTAGCTGTGTCCCAAAGTTAATTGCGCACACTTAGAAGGCCACGGACAAGACGAATTAAAATAAGAAATAAAATTTTTGTAACTTTTTATTTTCTCTTGACAATTTTTTCCTACTGTGTTGCATAAAATATTGAAAGAATTTTGTGTCTTAAGATAATTCATATAAATTCAATCAAAGTCAATAAATTCAAGACTCTTGACAAGACAAATAAAATAACACAATTTTGTGCAGACTACACTTTTATTTGTTAGCTTATCTCTCTTTGTTTCAGTAGCGGAAATTTAAATGTGAGATTCTGGAAACGAGATCTAAATTTAGTGGGAATGGTCGGGTCGGGAAGAAAATTATTCTAAGTGGACAGAGGTGAACAAAGAGTGAATACATAGCGGGAGCGGGTGGGTGTGGAATATAACCTTGCGGGAGCGGGACTAAAAAAATAGTCCCGCGCAGACCTCTACACCACACACCAGCTTAACTAATATTTTATTCAATAGTACAATAAAATAGTTTTCAAAAATACAATCATTTATTTCAGAGATGTAAAAAAATTATATAATCTCAAGTAAGTGTATTTTTCCTTACCTCTCAGGCAGTCAGGTAGGCAGTAAAATGTTTCCAATACATTCTTGTTCTCTCTCAACAATGCTCTAACATCACACGCAGATAGCAACACAATCTTGCTAAGCTGTGTACTATCTGCACCTCTTCTGCTGCACCTCTGTCATTTTCTGTGGGTCTCTGGAATTGTCAGTCAGCTGTCAACAAACTTCATTCTGGCCATTGCTTCTCAGTCTACTCTTAGTATCTTGGGCTTGACTGAGACCTGGATTCGTCCAGAAGACTCCGCAACCCCTGCTGTTGTCTCTAACAACTTCCCTTTCTCTTTAGAGGAGCTGTATGGGCTGCTGTCCTCATTCTCTGTGGATGGCAGTCCACTTGTAGTCTTCGGTGACTTCGAAATCCATCTGGAGAAGCCTTACACTGCACACTTCCACTCCTAGCTTCATTCGATCTTGGAATGGCTTACCACCACAAGCACTAACAAATCAGGCAACCAGCTTGACTTATTTTCACATGCAATTGTATCACAGACAACAGTTGGTAAAACCTCTAGACATCTCTGCTCATTTCTTTATTACATTTACTAGGGCTGCACGATAAATCGCATGCGATATTTAATGCGCATCTTATCATGTAAAATGATAAGATTTACCGCACGTGATGGTAAATCTCCATCACGTGTGTGCTTTCACATTGAGCAGCATTAACTACACAGAGCCGTTGTTCACTGACTAGCTGTGCAAAACCACGTTCATATTCGCGCGATTTTTTTGCGCAGCTCGTCAGTGAACAACGGCTCTGTGTAGTTAATGCTGCTCAATGTGAAAGCACGCACGTGATGGAGATTTACCGCTGATTACAGAACCGGCTTTCTGACAAGATGCGCATTAAATATCTCATGCGATTTATCGCGCAGCCCTACATTTAACCTACATATTACTACCTGTGTGCCGCCAATTCCTCTACCAGTTACTTTTAGGCAAAACACTCCCTTTCACCATTCCATCTTGCCTCTGTAGTGTCATCCTCTCTTCCCTCACCCACCCATTTCTCATCTCTGAATGTAAATAAAGCAACTGACACTTTATGATCCACTTTAATTTCTTGTCAAAACAATATCCGTCTAGACAGACCAGTGCATACTACCCCTTCTAACCTAAAATGTTGCCCCGTGTATCATCATATTTACTGTATTTTTGCTGAGCAGTCTTTTGGATGGCTCACCAATGTACTAGATTGCTCAAATACAAAAAAATGAAGTAGGCTTGACCAAAATTTTTGTGGGGAGAAGAATTTATTGAAGATGGCAGTGTAGTAGTTCTTCAATAGCGATGTTAGTATGTCTTCCTTTAAACAATCTTAACCCTTGTATGAATCCTAGCTTCTCCCAAATTTTTGTCTGTGGGATAGAATTTTATACCTGAAGAGAAAAGGGCTAGAAACAATACTGTTAGGACCTCCCGCTGGAGATCCTGCAATCTACAAGAAGTTCCTGAAGAATGCTGTTCCTTTGTTATTCTAATGGAATGGACCATTTGGTTCACACCTTTATTGACACAGTTACATTATTTCTTTCACAGAATGACCAACTGAACTTTACCATTCAGGTTTCAGCAGCGGCCATTCAACATGGTTTCTCCTACCATTGCTATGCTGATGACACAGAGCTCTATCATTCATTTCAACCAGACAATTCAATAGTAGCTGCATGGATCTCAGACTGCCTGGCAAACATCTCGGCATGGATGAAGGAACATCACCTGCAGCTCAGCCTGGCAAAGACTGAGCTTCTCGTTTTCCCTGCCACTCCAACTCTACAACATGATTTCATCATCCTGCTAGGTTGATCAAAAAAGATTCTTTGGTGACCAGCTGACCTTCAAGGACCATATTGTAAAGACAGCTCGATCATGCAGGTTTGCATTGCACAACATCATGAGGATCAGGCCCTTCCAAACAGAGCATGCTGCACAACTTCTTGCCCAGGCCCTTGTCATTTATAGGCTGGACTATTGCAATGCTCTTCTAGCTGAACTTCCATCATTGGCAATCAAACCTCGACAAATGTTTCAGAATGCAGCGGCACGACTGGACTTCCATGAGCCCAAAAGGGCCCACTTCACACGTCTCTTTATCTCCCTGCTCTGGCTACTGGTTGCGGCTCGCATCAAGTTCAAGACATTGATGTTTGCATACAGAACAGCCACAAGCTCAGCACCCTCCTACTTCCTCCTCACTCTTACAAATCTACATCCCCTCCAGGAGCCTGAGATCTGTAAGCAAGCAATGCCTTGTGGTAACATCACAGAGAGGCATTTTCGTTCACCTTTCCTGAACCCCAGAGAGTGATTGTAAATTAAGTTTACATTAAATATGTTTGAAATGTCATTCTGCATCTTCTGAGATTTCATTGTAATCCTTCTCATAAAGTCACTGAATTAACCATTTAACTGTTCACCTGATTGCGTTGCCGTCTGCTTGTAATGTTAGAGCGTTGTTGAGAGAGAACAAGACTGTATTGGAAACATACTACCGCCTACCTGACTCTGCCTGAGAGGTAAGGAAAAATACACTTATCCGAGATGATTTTTTATATATCTCTGAAATATATTATAGTATTCTTGAAAACAATCTTTTAATGTATTTGTAGCGTCTGGACCAATCAGACACACCATTTTTCAATTTTAATGTATTATTTAAAATATTAGTTAATTATCAAAGAAAGAAAAAATTAATAGCCATGATATGGACTTTTGTAAAGGCTCCTGTGATACTATGATGCTCAGGTATTGATTTCCTTCTCACATTGCTGATTTCACCATTAAGTCTTCACCTGAACAGTTTATGTTTTGTATATAGTATCAATGTAATCCTTGACCATCAAAACATAGGGGTAGACATCACCTTTTCTGTGTTATCATGTTTGGTTCAGGAGATATGACACAAAATACATAATTTGGTTATGGTGGAAAGTAAAATGGTCGCCATGGCAACCATGAGGTTTCTGAAACAATTCCTGAAAATGTTTAGGGCCGCAACTATTCAAGTGTACCAAGTTTCATGCTTTCATGAAAAAGTGAACATTATTTTCACATATCACCTGGACTAAATAGGAATTTTAGACCAACGAGATTTCACTGTCAATGGGGCTTGGAAGTAGAACCTCTAAGTATATTGACCTTATGTTGCAATCCAAAAGTCAGACATTTTCTATGCATGTGCGAGACGTCAGATTCATTAGCCGCAATGCTATGGGTAAACAACTAGAAGAATAACAATATGGAAAATAAACTATTTGCGCTACAAACCAGTGTGTTTGTAATTACGACAATACAGTAGAATTATGTGTTAAGAATTACCATTTTGCAATATCAAGCAGCATAACGAGTGATTTGTGCAACTGAAAATAACTGGAAGGGAATGTTACAATGGGAAGTAACAATGGCTGTCATTGTGCATGTCTAGTAAAAGTTAAAGCACTTATTACAGTGTACTCAACTTTACCATTGGTGTTAAAGCAAAGAAGTAAACATTGTTGCTTTCTATCTGGTAAGGATTTGGTGTTGAAGCCAAAGCGCTGAGCTGAAATAGTTTTATTATACATAAGTACAGTATTCTACACATTATATTGACTTTAAAAAAAAATTTTTAGAAAATAGGTTCAGCTGCGTATTAGTACTGGTGACACATATACTGGTACAAACAGCATTGTTAATACTTTAAAGTGAAAAAAATAAAGTATTTATTTTTAATAAAGCAGTATATGTACTTTTGAAACAATTTCCAATGCTGCTAGACCTTTCAGAATCTATTCACCAATGCAAAAAATTAATCAAGTGAAGCTCATATACAGAATATGCTTGAAAAAAATAATAAATATAGTTGCAGCAGGAATTTGCACACAGTTCTATCTCTCAGTTAAGGCAGAGATCAAGCACAGTGATGATAATCTAACCCACAGAATAGTCAATACATATGCAGCAGCACAAATGATATTGACACCATCTGATCTGGGGTGCACCCGGCATCTCTCAGACATCTTCAGATTGTGTCCAGTTTTCAGAATTCCTTTAGTTTGTGGTTCTGGAGTCACTGGGATTGGGGCAGAGGACGTCGGAAGAGCAAGATATGTGGTTCTATAATGAAAAGAAGTCATGAACATGAATATCAACAGTGACAACAGTAGAGATGGCACATATTTGGGCAAGTTTTTGACATCCTAGCAAACACACACATACCGGGTTGATGGATCATGTAATGTACCCATCCTTGACTCTGCTGAACACCCAGATTCCTCCATTCGGTCTCTGACATCAGATGGGTCTTGGGAACTCTTTTAGCGATATCCTTAGGAAGCATGACATGCCTGAAAATGAACGGAAAACACACACTACACTTTACCCTCGTTATAAATGTCATTTTAACAGCTCAGAAAATATACTGAAGTATCTTGTTTCAACTTATTTTGAACTTATGAAAACTAAATATTACGAAATGTCAACTCCGTTTCATTTTATTTGGTGATTCAACAAATGGTTAAACAGCGGAACATTATTATTAGTAGTAACGTTAATAACGTTACATGCACAGCACTGCTGTCTCTAGGGATCCAAAACGGAAAACATTAATTGTAAACTGTACAGATAACTTAAATAATTGCCTACCTGTACTCGAATTTGTCGTCGTCATATTTGTCAGAGTAAAAAATCTGCTTGTGAGACATAGCGTGTTGTTTCTGGATGAAAAACACATGAAATAACAGTTAACTGACATGTCAAACTTCATTTACATCGTTTGTGTAAAGTAAGCTAATACTGGTCTTAACGTAAATAAAGGACAATAGTAGATATCAATTTTCCTTCTCAATAAATGTAACTGTTAGAGGGATTTTATTAATACAGGTTTCAGATCGTTCCCTCCAATGGTGGCTAGCTAAGTTACTCTAGCTAATGCACGATTGAGGAAATTCAACGTTTATTCTGGATTAGTATAATCATGACACTTACTGTTTCTTCTTTCTTGTAAATGTAATAACTGTGGCGTTTACTTCATCAAATAATACTTTCGTTTAAATGAAAAGTATTTTTCACAAACGCAATTTGCCAAATCAACCACCGTTTACGTTTCCCTGGCGCCTGAACTTCCCTCTCAGCGAGTTCGAAGCCCGCCCATAAGTGTTCGAAAGCTTACAAGTCCTTTCTGATTGGACAAGATGTGAGGACGTCACTAAGACGTCGAACTGTGTCAGTGGTTACTTTTCGTAAATAAAAGTCCTTATGGTCACTTAAGTGTTTGGCATTTAGAAGGCCTAACTTCCACTTTTTACTTTTTAATGTATGTATAGCCCTTCTTTTGATCTCATCTTTTGATTTCCTTTCTTTATTCTTTTTCTTTCTATTTATGCATTTTGTTATGAATGTTTTTGATTCATACATTTATGTTCATTATATATGTAATTGGTTTTCAAAAGGCATAGTTCATGACGTTGATAACATCTGCAGGACTAAGTTAAATAAGTTTTCTGCGCGACTCATCACAAGGTTCTGTGAAAGACTTAACACTTTATTTTTTAGTAAACTTACTCAATATTTTTTAAATATTGTATTATATTTTCTATTTATTTGTACGGTTGTAATAACACAAACAAAAATCTAATAAATTAATACGAATTAAATAATGCTGGCAGTGCCAGTGAACACTGAGTTGTGCACGGCGTCAGTGAGCTCTAGATGGGGCTAAAACCTAGTCTATGAAAACAGTATTTTCAGGTGTATTTAAATTGATTTTGCTGTGTATATTTCTGCACATTTCAGTGCAGTTGGTCCTGAGATTGTCAATAATAATCATTGTCTTATTATATGTCTATATATAATATACATTTTTCTTCTTTTCAAGACAATAACAAGGAACTGGCTATATACGACGATTTGTGATGTACCAAATGCATTTATATAGTCTATCTACGCAGAAGCCCAAAGATTCACAATAATGATTAACAATTTCACTGTGATGTACAGTATTTGCGATAATGTATTTCACTTTCATATTGGTACCCAATCTATTGATTATTTTTTTAATTTATATAGAGTTGTCTGTATTTTGTGGTTAATGTATGAAATGGCGGTAAGATTTCTATTCAAATGTGGGGTATAATACTCTATAATACATATAGCATACGATAATATAATAAACATTACGCTTCTGTGCTTTGGGAGATCCAAAATCCGCAATCCGTTTAATCAAGGCCTAAACCAAATCAACCTAAAGACAGAGAAATATGAGATCCTGGAAGGATGTAAATAAACAACAACTGTACATCCATAAAATACAATGAGAGTGTTCATGTTTTTTCTTGAGTTTAAAATAAAATGCTAAAATATCACCAGATCTATGCATGCAAACATAACAGTTTAAACAAGGAAGACGGAAAATCATTTTCCTCTCCATTATTATCATCGTTATCTGCCAAGACCTGGCCGTACTCAATTGATGACGGGAAGTCAAGGCGCTTCATCTGGAGCGAGGATAGTCGGGAATCTCAAAAGAAAACAGGTAAACAAATTACCTCCCCGTGCATGAAAATACACAATCTGTAAAATAATACACACCTACATAAAATGCATGATCAAAAAGGCATAATGTGGCATCCACGTGAGGTTATTTATAAACAGGTAAATGTTGCCATGCACATGCAGTGGCCTGTGCTTAAATGACCCTCGCGACGGGGCAGCACGGACCCCGCCGTCATGACAGAACAAACCCAAAAATACACCTCACATATCTGTTTATCAACCCACCAGCTGTTTATTTATCAGTCCAGCAACGCTGAAGCCACATCTAAAGGACAACATGTGACAGAAGCCCTTTAATCGTACGGTTAGCGATTCAGTTTCGGTCCCCATTTGTAGTTAGCCAGGTCAGCTGCAGGTTTTAGCCGTTCTCAGACAATTGTATTTGTCATAAATATATTAAATTAATCTCTGTAACGTGCTCAGTTGTTAGTGTATTAATATATTTTTTTATTTATCAATTATTGTTTTTATTTCATGTAAGAGGGCTTGTTTGTATTCTCGTGTTGATACCATAGCAGCTTTAGCGTGCTAAACAGGCTCTGTTACTTTAAGTGATCCATTGTTAAGCAAAAATGGGATGCTGGATCATAATATTATCTTATATGTGATTAAAATGATTTATTTTTCATATTGCACACGTTAATATGCATTGCAGTTCAGTCGCCAATGCTAAGTTTATACAGAGGCATTACGTGGCGGTTAGCCAAAGCTAACAAAAGCCGTTCGGTGTCATTTGGTATTGCGCTATATATTTGTGTATATATGTTGTTTCAGAAGTAAAGAAACGAGCTAAAATAGCAGGATACATGCGGCTAAAATCATCAAGTAAATTTCACTTCATAGATTCCTCAGCACGAAGCGTTTCTGTTACGGTTAAAAAAACTGATAGCTTGAGTACTTGATTTGTAAATAAACTGTTTGTGCAAAAAAAAATTATATGTATTAAACTCACTTTATGAAAACAGATGATTTTGCTATGAGCTATTGTTAAAAATATAGCTAACACATTACCCCCTGCATTAAGGATCCCATTGAATCACACCATATTACAATATTTTAAAAAAATAAGCTGTTAATAAATAAGATGAGCCCTTCCATTTGTCCTGTCTCTATTTCATTTTTAATTAGAATTTTTAATGTTAACACAGGACTTAAAAGGGTCCGTTTACCCAAAGTAGTTAGATAGTTCACATCATTTAATCACTGTCATGTTGTTCCAAAGCTGTATAATTTTATTTCTTCTGTGAAACACAAAATATTTTGAAGAATATTGACAACCAAACTGTACTGGTGACCATTGACTTCCATTGTATGGAGAAAAAAACACTGACAGAAACAGACGTTTCTCAAAATATCTTCTTTAGTCAGGTTTGGAACAACATGAAGGCGAGTAAATACTTTTGGTTTTCATGCAATTGTTATCACATTTTTACATGTTATTTTTCTGCGTTCTAGGATTGAGTCCACTGACCCGGCATGGGGGACATGAAAACCCCCGATTTTGATGACCTGTTGGCAGCGTTTGACATTCCTGACATTGATGCCAAAGAGGCTATTCAGTCCGCCCCGGATGAGGTGGAGGGGCATCAAGGAGCAGGCGGAGGATCGCTCATAAAGGCTGGTGATGCTTCAGTAGGTGGAAGTTCAGCCTTAAGATCACCCAGCCCATCCACGGATTCTCAGAGCGACCCATCTATTGTGAGTGTGATTGTTAAGAACCGTGTTCGCTCTGAGCCCTTTGATGGTGGCGACAGCTCTGTACCAGACCCATTAAACCATAATGGATTTGTGTCGTCCGGTGGGTCAGTACATATGTCTCAGTCCCGGGGCCAGCCGAATGGGGAACAGTGGCCCATATGCAGTTCAAAGGCGATTCCAGAGACTCCAGGAGCGCTTGGATCTTCCGGCACTTCCAAACCAGGCGGCAACATCTTCAATAAGCTGAAGCCCTTGATGGCACAAGGTGCTGGAGACTCCGTTGGAAGGGCCCGAAAAATGCAGCTTCTGCAACAGCAACATATGCAGCAGGAGATGAGCCTAGAAGGTGCTGACAAGGCGAAAGCCCCTGCGATTTCTAGTGGGACAAGTGGAGCAGCATCTCCTTTCTTTCCCCCACCTAAACCACTTCCTTCCACTCCCTCCACAGCTTCGTCCTCTTCACCGTCATCGTCCTCTCCATCGGTTGGTTCCCGTGTTTCTGGGGCCATGGCTTCGTCTCCGCTGGCTACATCTCTAACGGAGCCATTTAACGGATCGCCACGTCTTAGTTCGTCGGCTTTCAGACGTGTAGATTCAGATGAGGAGGATTCGGATCCTGATTCCGGTGGATCTCTGGTCATCCATGAGAGTCCAGACTCTCCCACTCCACCGAAACTATCACGTCGGCTAAGGTCACCTCCAGAAAATTCACAGTCTCCTTCTCTCCCTCCTTCGACATCCATATCGCCCAGCGCTTACCCCAAACCAGGTGACATTCCCTTGGCATCACCTGCTTCACCTCAAGCTCAACAGAACTTGCTTTCAGCACCAGTCCAAACAGGAACCGGAAAGAGTTTACCCCAAGAGGAGCGAAACCCAGAGCATGTGATAGAAGAACGAGATTCGCCAGAGAGCCCTGAGCCAGAGATGCCCAAGTCCTCCATGTCAACACCTGCAGTTACCAAAAGATCATGTAGCCCAGCGGTTGCCTCTTCATCACCATCTGCTTCCCTTCAAGAACCTAAGGAGGAAGAAGAGGAGATGGAGGTAGACAAAGGTTCAGCGGAGAATGGACAAGATGCGGCTAATACAGATGGTAAGGATGGCGGGAAAAGGGATGGAGAGAAAATGGAGGTAGATGCTGCACAATCCCTTCCAGCAGACGCCGTATCACCGAGCAGTGGTGGCAAAGCTGTATCTGGCGGAAATGCTCCCTCCAGACCTCTTAAAGTCCGTATCAAGACCATTAAGACATCTACAGGAGGTATCACACGCACGGTTACCCGAGTAGCAGGTAAGGGAGGCACTGCCAATGCAGACAAAGATGCAAGTAAATCCCAAACGGGCAGTCGAGCTGGTCCTGCGAAAGGCGGCAAAAAAAATGATGGTCAAGTGGTAAAATGCTCAACCTTACCAGTATCCACTCTAGAAGCCAGCAGTGCCATGATAGCCGCAGCCAGCAAGGTCCAAAACAAAATGGCCATGCAAGCCGATAAAACGAAAGTCTCTGCCACAGCGGTGAGCATCACAAAATCCACCACTTTACCAGTCGCACCAACCGTCGGTGGGATAAGCGTGCGCACTATGGTCGGTAAAACCACCAATGGAGGTACCGTGCCGTGTAAACCAGCGTCTATCGTCAACAGCACCGGTGCTGTTATTTCCCGCAGCCAGTCTAGTCTAGTTGAGGCTTTCAACAAGATCCTGAACAGCAAGAACCTGCTGCCCAGCTACCGTCCGGATCTCTCAACCCCGCCACCCCCTGAATGGGGTCTTCCTATGCCTGCTATTGGATACCGCTGCTTGGAGTGCGGAGAT